AAGCAAGTTTGTCTTTTTCAAATTCTTCCAGGCATATATATATATATATATATATATATATAAAACGGACGATGCGCTACTTTGAGCATATAACCATCCATCGACGCTTCCAAGAAAAGACTACTACGTATGTGAGGGGTTCTTATTCAACCCCTTACAATCGACGACTTTCCTCATTTCTGTTCTCACCGTAGAACTCAGTTCCTCTGGTGATATACCAACAACCAAAAAGCAATACCAAACTTTTCTCTATACCCATTAGGAACGTGGATACTTCAGTACCGACCGAGGACATCCACAAAGCCCTAGAAGACTCAACACAATCCGAAATTAAAACAGTACACAGGATCCGATCCAGAAAATCAGGCCAACCAACAAATTTCCTAAAAGTAACCACCTCTTCCGAGAAAATTCTAATTCTAATTCATGGTTGTTTTTATTTCTATTTTGTACACTTTAAAGCACAAAGACCCCACAGACGGACAAGCATAACACAAGATTACTTCTCTTCCAACACGCCAGCGAGCAGACGATCCACCAATCAACACTCTCCCAAACACGCAGACCAATAAAACCAGCCGGCCAGTCATGATAAACCAGAATATCCAAACAATAATTGAAGAAACCACTCCAGTTCAGTCCATGACCAAGAAACCCAAACAGAACCAGATGAAGTCTCAAAAATACAAACGATTACATACCCCCAAGAAAAAGAACCAAAAGACACAGTTCCAGCCGAAACAAAGTAAGAAAGCTCTTCAGACTAACCCACAGACGATCCAAATAACGCATCTACGTTTCCGCCTTCCTTCACGCTGAGGAACAACGTTCTAACTCCGCAAACCATCAGATTACAACACAAGCGAAGAAGAATTTCAAGTTTTAGTTTCATAATCCTTATAACTTAGCTGGATCCACTTACGTTCACATGTATTTTCACTAATCATAATTCTCCCCATTTCTATGTATCCAGCTCGAGCACTGATTGGGGAGATTATTCGACGATCAACCAGTAAAAGTGGGGTTTCTCGGGGCACTTCCGCCCCCCTTGCAAATTTCCCGACATGGATACATATATATCCTCGCCGTCCTGATATTTGGTTTTGGGTTTGTTTCGAATTTCGTGCAAAGCTACACGAGGGCTATCTGCGCTCGCCGTCCCTAATTTAGCAGTGAAAGACTAGAGGGAAGGCAGCTAGTCATCACCACCCACCGCCAACTCTTGGGCTACTCTTTTACCAACGATTAGTGGGATTTACTGCACGTTATACCGCCCCCACGGCTGAGAAGGCGAACATATTTGGTGGGATGGGGGATTCGAACCCGCAACCCTCAGATTGCGAGTCAAGCTGGGCCTACAAATGTCCTGATAAAAGGTCGTTTGCTTCTTTCTCAGTTCTAATGGCGAAGCCTGGATGTTTGATACTTCGACCTCCGTATCAAGGGCGGCCTTTGCTTTTCATTCCTTGCCATAACCTCTACAATCATATCAATGGTTTTCCAATGTTTATCTTAATCGTTAAATCTGTAAACTAAAAATAAATATATGTATATATATATATATATATTTATTTTGCATAATGTTAATGTGGTTTCATAAAAATATGTCCCCCTCCCCAGTTGACGGTCATAATTTTACGGAATTACAATGCTAAAATCCGGGGTTCGATTCCCAGCGGTGGACACAGCAGATAGTCCAATGTGGCTTTGCTCTAAAACAAATCAACAAACATAAAAATATTTCATGAGTAGGGCGAAGTGGGATACTAATATCCCTGAACACCTCAGTTTAAGAAGGTTTCTTTCTCTTTAAAACTAAATACCTGCCACGAATGATAATAATAATAAATGGGCATATGCTTAAATTTGAGGGTAGGTTGGTAGAAATCGTGATGAGTAATGCAATCGAATCAGCTATACGCGCGCCCAAAAAATTATAATCATTGGCTGGAATTTCTCATCACATTTGCTTGGTTGGCAAGGAGACACACTGACGCAACATCACAAAATTTTGTCCAATTGGAACCCTTGGCTACAACTCTATAATAACCCGCATGTTTTACCCGCAGCACATTTC